AAATTACTTGTACCTGATGATGACAAAACTTTGTCAAAACGTTGTACATTTGCTGTTATGTTAAACTTATATTAAAGTTTTTTCTTCATTACCCATTCAAGCCGACTCCAACCATTATTAGTCTCAAAGTGGGTTCCTTGTCATCGAACTTATAATATATGTTTTGACAGATTCAAAGTATAGTCTTATTACTCTTGAGAATTCTTGTTGTAAACACTTTAAGCTACATACATAAGCTGATAAATTCCACAGCCTGTTGTTAGCATAAATGTTTTCACTGATTCTAAGTGCAGTGTGATTACTCCGTATTTTCCAAGAAAATGTTGTACAATATATAATCCGATACATTAGAGATCCTATTTTCGGAGCAGGGGTCAAGTCATGTATCTCTTCATGTATGCTTTGTTGGTTTTGAGGGTATTGTATTTATGGTGTCATGTAAACAGTCTACTGACACAAGCAGCGATATACTGCTTTATTTTCAATGGGTTTGTAGTTTAGTCATTGACAGTAAAATAAATGTGAAATGTTTAGCAATTGAAACTCTCAAAGGAAGTACTTTGAAACTTCATGACCAATGATAAAGAAAAAAGGGCACAGCTGCTCATTTTATTTCTGATTTTACAACTTTTCATTATACTTTGATGATTGGACTACAGGCTGAAGAATCAACTATATCATTGACATAAAGGTAATAACAGATAAAATATAGTTTGTTCTAGTTATAAGTCACTCTTTACAAATATACCACTTGACAAAACCATAATCTTTGTTTGAACCTTGTGCTTGTTAAAAATGAAATTGTACAAGATACAATTAAAGATGTTTTAAAAACACTTTTACCCTTTGTATAATCACACTTTGTATTTAATGGAAAAATCTATCAACAGTTTGATGGAGTGGATTTGGGCTCCAACCTTTCTAGCCTTTTTTCTCTGCTTCAGTGAAAAATTTGTATTACCATCCTGTCCTGAACATTGTACTACTGTGTATTCTAGGAGATATGTGGACAACATTTTTGTGGTGTTTAAGAACCTTGAGTCAGTATTTGATAAGGTACTTACCTACTCTGTTAGCTGTTCTTGTTCAGTGCTGCCCTCTATATGCAAACTTTTTTTTTCTTTACGCATACCACAAACCTTCTGCTCCCCCCTGTTGGAATTGAAAGATTCCATCATATGTCTCATGTAAATAATCATGCGTCACTTCTCCACCAATAGAAGCATGAAATACATGATGCATGTGACTCCCTCTATATTCCTCTACTGAAATATCATTTCTCGTTTGGCAATGCTTGTATTTGGATGTGCTTCTTGGTTGTTTAAAGATTCATGTTCTGCTTAAGTTTCCTCACAAAATGGTTTTCTTTAATTTATGTAATTTTCATTTAGATAGTTTCTTCACTTTAAAATTTTGTCAATTAGTTCTTGTCACATTATTTTTTTTCACTGTTTAAATTTGGTGAATTCTTCTGTACAATGAATTCTGAAGTTCATGTTACCATTTTGGGTGTCACACCAGCAACTAGCGTTCTTTCTCAGGCTTCGGGCGACCTGATGATAGATTTATCTGCTAAGAGATTGAATGTTACATGGGTCAACCTTTGACCCCGAACCTCCCAAACAGGCAGAGCATGTTCAGACTGATAAGAACTTGAATCGTCTATATCTGCCTCCTGATTTTGCTCCTGAGGCAGGAATCAGTTAGGCCTAATGCAATGCTATCTTTGGATTTTGTTTCTCTGGTATGTGACGTTTTATCCCTTTCTCCTTTTTTTTATGAGCCATCCTTCCTTACTACATGACCAATCTTCCCACCCCTGATATTCGGGTTCATGCTGATTAATTTGCCTTGCAATTCAGCAATGGGATTAGCATGCCTCACCCCCTGTGGACTTCAGGTCAGTTAATGCTTTCATACCATTGTACTGACTGTCCTTTTTTTTTTACCAACAGTTGTTAGGTCCCATATTGCCTGTTTGGGGGTGGCTCCTGAATCACCTGTCAGTCTGACCTATACTTAGTTTTCTCGCCTCTGTCTTACCCTTACAACTTTTATGGTAACTTTTTTCTCTACAGATATTCTCTGAGGCTCTCCACAGAAATTCTGAGGGTTTTCTGTGGATACCCTTTTTCTTCTTTCCTCCACACTAACCTGTTTGTTGTCTTTGGCTCTGGCTTTGCATAAGTCTCTTCTCTGTTCTGGGAACCTTTTAGGTCGTGATGCAATTTTGGTTCAGGTCCAATTACCTTTGACTTATATTTGGGACTTATGTATGGCCCCATTTCTGTGGTGATACGTTTTTGACACAATCCCAGAAACACTAAAGCCAAGGGTGGCATTGGTCCAACAACAATCTGCCCTTCCCAATATTCTTGCATGGTTGTCACCATATGCCACCTTTTACCATTTCCTGTCCTTCCCCTTCCCTACACTTACCTGTCCCTTCTTCTCGGGATGCCTCTTTTCATTGTTTTTCAACGACACATCTCACATCGCCAACGGTACCAGTGACTACCCAGTGGGTTTTGGTCTGCAGGGAGCTTGGCTTGCCGATTTTCTTCATCACTGGCATTCCTTTGTCATGGATCAATGAGTTCTTCAGATTTTATCAGAAGGATTCGTAATCCCCCTTCTTTCCCCACCTCCCGTAACTCCTTTCCCGATTTCCTTCCCTCCTCCTCGGGATACCATGACCAGTCAGTGTCTGTCAGAAGCAGTTTGGGAATTGCTATATCACAGGCCATTGAATATGTTCTCCAGCCTTCAACAGGTTTTTATTTCTGACTTTTTGTTGTTCCCAATAAAACTGGGGACTGGAGGCTGGATAGATTTATCTCACTTCATTCACCTGCCTGGGTTTACTATGGAGTCTTTTCTCACCCTGAGGTGGGTGTTTTCTCTGGGTTTATGGATGACCAAAATGCATGTCACCAACACTTATCTCCATTTACATATATCACCTTGGTCTCGTCCTTATCTTTGGTTTGTCCATTTCAGGGTGGTTTATCAATTTTGAGCCTTACCATTTGGGCTTGCTTCATCCCCTTATGTTTTCTGCTCGCCATC